TTGCTGATGTGATGGTCGTTAAACCATCGCCTGCTTAGGGTGATCGAAGGGCGCTGGACTGCCATACGAGAGGTCTTGACAGGACAGGGAAAAATGAGACACACACATACTGAACGCATAGTGAAGGAAATTTTCTTATTAAAGATGCAGGCGATTAGTCAGCCTGGAAACTTGACAAAATTTTTTAGGAAAAGTTGACCGATAGAGCTTTAATTCGACGGGTGAGTGAAAAGAAATGACCTAAGGCGAAATTTAGCAAAAAGTTATTGTATAGCGAATACGACCAAAAATACAAGGAAAAATGACATCTGAAATCTAATAAATTAACTACAGAGGAAAATCAGTTTAGTAAGACTGGAGAATTCATGAAGTATCTTTAATAATATCAAAGTCATTCCAAATCTTACAGAAATTTGACAACCTGTCAGAAAGCCATCCATGGTTTTATTGTTCAGTGACTGAGAAATGTGTTCTTCCAAGGTCTTTTTGCTTCGTGTGTCACTGGCATTCATTTCAATGTACGTAAAACCCAGCTCTTCACAAACCAGGGTACATGTAGCTGTTGTTGTTTTTCCAACTCCTGGGGAACAGGACAGAAGAGCTGCCATAAAGGACGACCCATCTTGGTCTTTGTTGTAAAAGAAAGCTGTGCAAAATAAAAAGGTTTAAAACTGTGATTCCACTACTAACATACTAACTACAAGTATAAGTGACTGTCGAGTAAAATAAATTCATAAAAGTTCATAAGTTACAGCTGTTTAAAAAATTGTATCTCTGAATGTGGGAATTAAGAAACAATCTGGATTCAATGTGAAAGTTATTTAGCCAACAGCTAGACGACATTTGCATTACAACTCAATTTAAGGTCTTATGTAAAATATCTGTTGATTAAGGTTAGGTTCATCCACTGAACCCTTTTACTTCAAACAGCTCACTAGTACTTCTTACTGTCTGCCATAAAATTTTTATGATTTGGATAATTTGGTATTGGATCAACTAATTATTCCCAGACTGATATTTTTCTACATTCTCATTACTTGTCTGATTGATATTGTATTGATATTGTAAGGAGAAATCCTGTCTTGGTCACTCATGTGAGATAAAGGGTTAGAGGTAAAGTCAGCACAAGAGCCACAGGTCTAACCTTGCCTAAGCTTACTTAATTTAGTAGCATCAGGTGACTAAGAGAATTGCTACTCCCCCCCCCCCCTAGAAAGGTCCCCCTATCTGGTTACAACCCAAACTTTTTCATCTGCTTTCTCCAACAGTTTGCCTGAACCGTTTGCATACTTGCCTGAAGAGAAGTTACATGTACATGTATTTGACAGAAAAGCATCTTGACAATCAAGTGTACTCACATTTAGAGGCTGGTTTCTTTCTATTCTTTTCCCAGTCTCTCAGCCCAGTTCATCAAGTTTCTCATGTTGCTCTTATCACCTTGCTGACCAATAATCTGCTTCACTGCACGAGGTTGATATTTTTCTACCCATGACAGACTTGGTTCTCCTGCACAAAAAAAAAAAAAAGAAAAAATTACCTTTACTGTCAAAATCCAATGTAGATTAAAAAAATAAAACAAAACAAAACAAAAAAACTGTACTTTCTTGTAACTCAATTTAAGTAACACAAACAAGTCTACAGGTGGAAGTACAGTAAAATGATCCAACAGATGAACCTAAAGGTGGAATTTAGAGTGGTGGTAAAACTGACGTGTGGGTGACTGGACAGAGGAGAACAAGGAGAATAAGTGACAGATAGAAAGACAGTCATTGGAAGAATGAACATACACAAAAGAGCAGACAGACAGACAGACAGACAGACAGACAAACTGAGTGACACCATAAATTAAGTAGATGGAAGAAGGGAAATGAGGATGAACAAATTATGTTATCAGTTGCACACTAGCCTATGGCTCCTATGACATTTTACTGGTACATGTATATCACACACATGCACATCAGTAACTTTAATGCAAAGTCATGTACAGTACTTGTATGCACACAAGAAAAATTATGTTCACTAAGTGTACACAAAAGAGCAGACAGACAGACAGACAGACAGACAGACAGACAAACTGAGTGACACCATAAATTAAGTAGATGGAAGAAGGGAAATGAGGATTAACAAATTATGTGATCAGTTGCACAAAAAAAAACAACAACAAAAACAACAACAACAAAGAAATCACAGGTTTCTTGCCAAGTAATGTTTAGCTATTCAAGGAAGGAAATACAACCTTAAACCAGTTAAAAAGGTCTTTTAACAAAGAAACATTTAATGAACTCCACAGTATAAGTTTATGCTCATGGAAAAAAAAAACTCTTTTAGAAGCCAACAACAAAAAGAAAATTTTTCAGTTCTTGTTAGTTTGCTGTTCAATGAATCATGTTAATTTATGCAAATTTGCGACAAGTTTCCCAGGTGTATTTGCAGTAAGCTGCACCCGGATTTGTTATAAAAATTTAGGGAAAAGGTGCAGTGTATATGTTTATGTTCACAGTTCTTTTTTTTCCCTCTTTTGAGCTGTGCATTACAATGTACCTTGGAAAGTTTACTCTTCCAGGATCCTGTCCCACAACAACTTGACTCTTTTTCTTGCTCACTGATTGGGTAACTTTTCCACCATATCTTTGAATCAGATCTGCTGCCTCCTCTCTCTCAATACTTTCCAAGATTCCTGTAATAACAAATGTCAGTCCATTCAAACAGTTTTCCACTTCCTAAAAATTATATTATCAAGTGCATGCATAATTTAAGATATGCAGACAAATAATTAATTCTTCCCTTGAAGGCCTCTTAACACTGTCCAAACTGAAAAGTTATAAATGGTGAAAAATGAAAAAAAACTCTGTAGATACACCATAAACATTTCAGATCATTGTCAGCATCTGCACACCCACCCCTCCCCTAACTCAACAACCATCAACTGCTTACAAGTAAGGGTTAATGTTGACTTAGGGGAGGGGTAGGTAGGCAGTTTCTCAGATACTGACATCGAACCAACATTTGAACATCAACTGAGAGTAAAAGGATAAAATACATTTTTTTGTTTAACCCTTTAACTCCCATGAGTGACCAAGACAGAACTTCTCCTTACAATATCAATATAATATCATGCAGACAAGTGATGAGAATAATGACAAATATCAGCCAGGGGATTATTAGTTGATCCAAGACCAAATTCTCCAAACTAACATTACAAGAATTGTATGACAGACAGTAAGGAGAATTACTATTGACATCTCGGAAGTAAAAGAGTTAATCAAAGCATGCATTTTACAATTTTTTTGCGTAAACTGTATCTGCAGATTTTCCAAATAAGCCTTAATTCTAATAATCTTCATTTTCCTTTGTCTTGCATCTCTCGTTAAAATTTGAAAGGATGGAAAACAAATCATAAAGAGCTTGAGAGATAATAATAATTTAACTAACATAAGAAATTAACATGTAACCTCTCTTGAGAATATCCATACATTATCCAGTAATGAGGATACTAAAACTTATCAAGTACATGTAGTTTGTTATAATGATTTAACAACAAACTCTCATTATTAATTTACACAAAAATGTGTAGCAGTTAGAGGGGAGAATTAACAATCAGATCTTTGAAACCTACCTGAAGGATTTCCTTTGAACCAAGTGCCCTAGGACTATCTCTCGCCATAAAACCATGGTAGCCAGATTTTTTCTTTTCCAATGAGGGTGGAACTTCAACCACTTCCTCTGATTTTGACACCTTTTGGTGTTCCTTGGGTTGGAGTTTCCTTACTAACATCTTTTTTTCCTTTTTCAGAGTAACAGTTTTCTTTGGACTTGGTTTTGAGTCTCTAACTGGAGTTTCTGGAACTGTGGCAGCTTTGGCAGCCAGATTGCTGGCAGGAGTTGGGTACTGCCTGAAAAGTCCATGGATAAAATTTGAAGTGAATAAAAGTTACATGTATATCAAATATTCTAACAGCAAAGAGTTGTCCTCACAAGGCAAGAGTTGTCCCAAATAGGAATGTTGATAGTAAAAGACACTTCTGCTTTGAAAAATGGAGACAAGGCGGTAACATCTTCCTGGATTGTCAAAGTTAAAATCACCAAAAATGTACCTAAAAGTTTTGTCACTATTGTAACTGTTTTTGTATAAATTCTAGGTACAGTAATGGCAGTATTTTGGGTGGTGTTAGTATCGTAAGTAATGTTTTGTTGCAAGTACTGTTCGTAATGTGTCATAGTAGGACAGGTTTACATATACAAAATGTAACACCAGTTAACAAATTTGAGTAAGCTTTTGGATCTTAAACAAAGCCAAATTTAGTCATAAAATGTTACTGTTTCATCTAAAAGTAACTTATTTAAGTGCTTAATGACACATACATTACACGTGCAATCATATCAGATCCAATCCATTCTAGTATCAGGGTAGCTGGTTCAATTAAGCATTAATAGTAATGATTAATTTTGCAACAATAAAGTATGGTAATCAAAAGGCTTACAAACCTTTTTCTTCTCAGGGGAAGGCTTTTTAACCTCAGACTTTGATTCTGAGAGGTCTTCCTTTCTTTTCTTTGATGGTTGCTCTGTTGTGTGACGGTTGACATTCCCATTTTCTCTTCCTTCTTTTTCTCTCCCATTTTTATACTCTTCTTTTCTATTCACTTTGGGTCAGATCTCTGTGGGAAATGAAAACAAAAAAAATGATTGACGGTTCAACAGGGAATTAAGGGATGATCATTTTGTAGGCTTAGAGCTCTGGATCAAGCTTAAAATTTGCACTCTTAGAGTGATCAATTTTCTAATTTCTCGCAATAATACCAATTCACAGTCAACTGAGCAGCAATGTGATGAGAAGAAAGAAAATCATCAGACAAGAGGATATCACTTGATTGAACACCATATTCTCAAAGATATTTTCATAACACTTGTGTGACAGACAGTGAAGAGAATTGATTTTAATATCTTGGAGGTGAAAGGACTTGTTCCTTGAAGGCAGCCCATTGCATTGTTTCTGCCAAAACTATTCCTCAATTGGTCACTACCGGTACCCATTGATTTTGTGACATGGTATGTGTTCACTGTAGACCATCCTGATATAACTATAACAGATTGGCAGAGGGTTTTACAAGGGATGCATGATTATGCCCAAAAATTAACATGTGATGCATGAATTTTATAGAAAGGCAAGGTATGGTGAGGTTTGAAGTTTTCCCTATTCAATGCATGATGCATGAAATACTGTTAAAAATACACTGGATGCCTGAATTTTTCTTTACAAAAAAAATTGTGGGTGGAAAAAGTGTAGTTAGTTATTCACCTGTTTTCTTTTATTAGCAAATGTTTTCCTGGATTCCCTTTCAACTGGAGTAGAACCAAAGAAATCAAGTGCAGAAGTTGCTTTTTTCTCTTTAGGTTTGACTGGACTGAAGCAAGAATAACAATCCATGTGTTAAATATTTCAGTACCACAACAACATTGTATTAAATTCACCTTTGATGACACTGTCTTTATTATTTTGCTGTTGTTTTTTTGGTTTGTTTGTTTTTCATTTTCAACCCTGAACACATTAATATCAGTATGCACATTCTCTAAACTGTTCTCTATGTGTTTCTGAGGGTACTGACAAGGAGAATTTATTTAACAAACAAGAGCTTAGTTGGTGATCATTTCCTTTATTCTTGTGCCCTTAACCTTGACACCTGTGTGTAACATGTGCCTATCCAAAAGTTAAAATTTTGGAGAAACCAGAAAAGCAAACACAATTCACAGTAAGTTTTAATAAATCATCTTTCCCTGAAAAGAAGCTCCAGTGAAAGAAGACCATTTAAATAACTTACTTTCAACAAAAAAAAGCAGTCAATGCACATTAATGTTTGATTCAGGAGGGATATTGTAAAGAGAAATTAGATGCTGGTAATTCTTCACAGTCAAAGGGTTAAATGTATTAGCATAAGAGCAGTGTCCTATGACAGATCTAACATTCCCAATGCTTGATGGAAGAAGGAAAAAACAAACAAACAAACAGAGAAACAAAATTTAGCATGATAATTTTAGAAGAAGCCAGATGCTTCTCCAGAGCAATATCTTATGTTCTAAATGAACACCATGGTTTGGTACTGAAATGTCAAATATAATGAAAGAGAATGATGAAAGATACCTCTCTTTAACTTGCTGGACCTCTTTAGAAGCTACATTGTCTGTCTGTTTTGCAGACTTTTTTAATTTGCTGGGCACAACTTCTTCCTCATCTGTAGAAAATGCATCAAAATATAACTCAAGTGCTAAAATATTCAAATTCTATTTGAGGCAGAGTGGTCTAATGGTAAGTGTGCTGAACCCTGAATGAAGCAGATGGCTTTGTTTTCTTTAGCAAGCTAATACATAAGCAATGTTAAAGGTCACGCAATGTTAAAAAAACTGACATCATCTTACTGTACCTCAAGCTCACCTCACACTAAATATTTCCCTATCCAGCCCTCCCACTCCATCAATAAGCAGAGTCTGCTAAAAAAAACCCTTGTGTCGAACTCAGTCACGTAAAGATATTTGGCAATCTTATTTATAATGAAAAGTATCCAAAACGTTTTGACATTCACATGAAATTCAAGACGATCACATTTTGAAGATAAATAAAACCAAGGAAAAAAATTAAACTAAATTCATATTTTCACTCTTTCTAACCTGTTAATAAAACTGTTAATCCTATGAAAATTAAATATATTTATGTAAAAAAAAGATGAAATCACAATTCCCATGAAGATAAAGTCTCCACATCACCTTTCACATAAAAAGTATCACGTACCCTCAATAAGTTGACATAATTTCCTTACCTGAGTCCAAGCTGATTGCTCTTCTACTTTTCTTAGCTTTTGAACTCTCCTCCTTCTTTACTGATGTGGCTTTTCTGAAACAGAGATGAGTGAAAGAGAACTAGGTTCTGAATACAACCTAACATCAGTATGCATATTCTCCATACTGTTCTCTATGCATTTTCTAAGCTGCTGACAAGGAGAATTTGTTTAATAATCAAGAGCTTCTATAGTTGGTGATCATTTCCTTGACTCTTGATTCAGGGCTGATATTAGGGTCAAAGAGTTTAACTACAACTGTATGAAATGGAATGAAATTGAAAAAACAAATCACATACCTGATTTTTGGAGGAAGAGGATCTTCATCAGAATCTAAAATAGATGTAAAATTAATTTAGAAATAGGGTCAGGACATCATTGTGATGTTGTATGTATAATTATGTGAATCTTTTTATATCATGTTTTTGTAATAATGCAAATTGCATCTGGAATTGACAAGGACACTGTACAGCACAATATACGATTAATACTAATACAGAGGTATAACAGTTTGTGTAGAGTCTCAACATCTGTTCCTTTTGAAACTGTTGGTGTTCACCCTAAAACATTACCTGAGTCAATAATGTTTTTTCCTTTCTTCTTCCTCTTCTGATTTTCTTTTGGTTTTTGTTTTCAGGCAATGTCATCATCTTCACTTCTTGATAAACTCTGCCCAGCAAATTAACAATTACATATTTTTATTCACACAACATGAGATAAATTCGCTTCTTTTGACCTAACAATAACAACTGGATAAGATGAAGGGGGGTGTTGTTCCTTGGAGCACAACTTTCTTACAAGACATTTTCTTCCAGCTCAGAAAATTGAGAGAAGACACCAGGTGTAGAAACCAATCCCCTTCTTGCCCCAGTCCACACAGCTATCCATATAAGTTTGACTTTTGCCCAGATCATGCCAATAAAAAAGGTGTGAGCTTGAGCTAAAAGGCAATAATTGCAAGTACATTGTTAGGCCAGCCATATTCCCAAATTGTCAGGTAAATTGCTGTTTTGTCGAGTGACCCATGTTTCATAAAATTATTGTTAGTATTGCTTATGTTATACATATTTCTTGTTACTTGTATTTCCTGTGTTATTTCCCATCTCATAATTAGTCATTCTGTTCTTGATGTATTATGTTTGTAATACTTTAAAGGTAATAAAAAAAGTTATCTTGATCTAACAACAAATTCCTATAACAAATGTACAAGGAAACTTCTAGAAACAAGTGGGGAGAATTAGAAAACAGATCTTGGGAGTTAAAGAATGAAGACAAAATTGCTTCATGTTATGACCTTGTTAAAGATAAAAAACAAAGGCAAACATTGTAACTTATCAGCCTCACTCAGCTACCCTGACATACTCAGACTATTGAAAATTATACCTACAAAGTTAGTTAACACACAGTACCACACCATTTTTCACGTTCCAGCCCAGAAAGATACCTTGAGTTAGATATATGTAGTGGAATGAAACTCTTGGTTAAAACATGTTGTAAAATTACCTACCATGTGCCAAATAAAAGATTCATGACAGAGGAAATTTTACCATGTATGGCAATACATACCAATTTTAGCGAAATTCTGCCGCTGAGAACTAAAACGACTAACAAACCATTTTAGTATAGTGATGTGTTCACATCACTCTCCGACATTTCGCGCCATCTTTGATGTACTTCAGTCAGCGGTCACCAACTTAGCTAGCTTCCAGACTCCTGCTATTTCTCTTCCGCTAATTTTCCGAGAAAAACAATAGGTCATAAGATAACCATAATCTAATTCAAATTCACGGAACCAAATGAAAGGAGCTGTCAGACGAGAGAGGTTGAACCACGTGCAGTTGCCCCAATAGATTGCTTTGAAAATGGCAAATAGATCCGCGGAGAACACTTCTCAGGGGTACGTACTCTGTTGTGGATGTCGATATTTCCATGAATGACTGCGCTCTAGATTCGCGCCGGCTCGTTCTGCGATTTGGTTCTTTCGTTGCGCTGTCGTCTCCTCGAGGTATATCGTTTGTTTATTGAAAAATATTCAAATTCGCAGCATGAAATTTGCAAAACGTTATTTGAAGTTTTATACGCTGATATTCAAAAACAATTTCATGTAATATACAATGACCCTATAGAAAAAAAAAACTACGCATAAAAGTTCTACCGATTGGACTTGAATGGAATAAGTGAGGTCGTGCACGTTTTCCCAAACTTAAAATTACACTGGTTTCTAAATTGTGTTTGCTTGAGTGGTAGCAGATGATGGAGTTTATACGCAGAATTGGATACAACTGAGTCAAAGAGTTAACGTTTGTAACACTCTTCTTTGCGTCTGTCTTTCAAATATCTGATTTCATAAAATGCATTTAGTCTCTATTGTAAAACTAGAATCGACCATATCTCCGGAATTTTTAGGGCTTACTGTGATTTGATAAACGAAACGAAACGAAACGAACTGAAAATATGAACATCTCCGTGGTGTTCTTAGCTGATCAAATCCTCTTCTGTATTTAAAGGAAGGACTGCGCCATTTAGCCATAAAATGTAGATCTATAATTACAAAAAAAAAAAAAAAAAAATCCGTGAAGCTGCAGCATCGATGTTCGTAGTCGACGAATGATTCGATTGCGTGACATGACACCTTCCCTGAAAAATATCGCGTGACTAGAGTTGTTTTGCAGCATGTTTCTGATTGGAAAATAATAACGATAAAAAGAGTTTTCGTTGAGGTTTCAGTAATAATAATGGTTGTTGTGTTATCATTTGTATGAGTTCTGGACTGAACTGACCGATTCATCCATAAGGGGGGCATTGGGATTTTCGATATTTTTTTAGGATCGGTTTTTGTGCCATAGAATTTTGGTTTTTCAGATTGTGTGTTCATTACGGATTGCGGATTTTCCGTTCTTTAGCATATGTTTTTCGGTTTCGTCATAAATACTTATCTTATGGGCTTCGGATTTGGTTTCCAAAGTGGTTTTCGGATTTTCCCATTTGGATTCCGGTTTCTCTTCGATCCAAGCGGCCACTGATCTCGAAATGTTCCACTTGTCAACACTGTATCGGATCGATCAGGGTTTTGAGAACTGGGATGTGAACACTTATAGATTTTGACGGTTTTGCATGAGGTTTTCGATTTTGATCGAATTTTTTTGCGGTTTTGCGGTTGTGGATAATTTTTTCGACGGCTTAGAGGTTTCTAATAGACCCTCTCGTCCTTCTGTACAGTGGAGTTCCACACGGATTCTTGTTTTGCAAATTGAAAATCTCTCTCTCTAAAATTACAGATCTTCATTTTCGTTCTGTTCCGTGTCTTAAATTACAGTAGGCCTCGTTTAGTTATTTCCTCTGAAATTGTATGTGGATCTTTTTATACAGATTTTCATTCTCAAAATTATCAATTTAGGTGCCTCACAATTATCAAAGAGAGTCTGTTTGATCTTGGCTGTCTTCTTCCTTCTGTAAATGAAATACTGAAGTAACCTTCATCAGACAATGATGACAAAATTGTTTACATATCGTAATAATTTGATTTAGCACCCTTCTTCCAAAAAGCACCCCCTCTGGAATAAGTGCCCCCCTCCCCCCTGTTTTATGTCAGAAAGTTAGACAGGTGATGATGTTTTGCTAAAACTTCACTTGTAATTTCATCATTATTATTACATGTATTATTATTATTTTTAAGCTTGTCATTATTTTTATACTGGCCTTTGTCAAGCAAAGGGTCAAATCTGAACTTCAAAACTACAATGGATATCCTGGTTTGCTGATGTGAGTACAGAATTGATTAATAGAGCAAAAAGGTCAAGGCTTATATTGAAGGTCAGCAACATATAGTCTGATCATTGTGTACTTTTAAGTAGTTGTACCTAAGTCTAAGTGACACCCAGCTACATGTACTTTTTTTCAAAAAAGTTGCTACTTGTAATAAAGGCAAGGGGATGTGCTGCTGGTTTGGGTGGCATTTTCATGACTCACTTAGCTACAATGGGGTTACATTTTCAATAGAGTTACTAGAGTGGGAACTAACACATTTTCATGATTTGGAAAATTTTCATAAATCAAAGTAAGGATTTACAAACAGAAAGGTTCAAATTAGATTGAAATGTTGTTTTTACAACCAAAAAATGGAATTTTTCAGATGCCTGACCCAGCTGGATGGGTGCAGGGTAAGTGGTCATACCATGGCAACCTGATTTTGAATAAATTAAGTGTTTGTTTGTTTTGTTTTTTTCTCTCACTGGTAAAATCACTCCAGAACAAAAGTTTTCTTTCAAATAGGCACTCTTAAGCCACATGGTATCAACAAATGCTTTTTATTTAACCAATTTATTCTTGTTTTCTTGTCACCATATTCCCACCAATAGCATAGCTCCATTTTCTGAATATAAATTCACACACAACTCACAATTCCTACAATTTCTCTGATGAAGGGCTATTATGCTTGTCAAACATCAGCTTCACCATCACCATCAAGTGGCCAATTCACATTATAAGTTCAGTCAATAATACTAAATTACCCTGTTATACTCTCCTGCCGATGCAGCACCACAGTTTCTTTAGAAACTTACCCCCTTTACCTGCACAGCAGTCCAGCACTCAACATGAGCTGACAGAAAAAATAATTCCTCTGTTTTAATTAGTTTTTCAGAACATTGTCACTGTTCTTGTCTACGGCATCCTGTTCTACCCATTTTTTGCCTGTCTGACAACTGACAACAGACTGGTTGGGTCCTTGCTGGGTTTTCTTTATGTTACAATCAGGTGAGCTAGCTATTACTTTGTTTATGAATACCAATTTAATCAGACTGTGAGTTTGTTTTTTAATTATCAAATACAGTTCTCAGAACTCTACAATTGCCAATACTTAATTCAAATATTACTCTAATGTGGAATACTACTCTTGGCTTTGAAATAAGTGATGTTTGTGTTAATTTTGGACCATGTTTTGTACACATGTCCTGGTAAATAGGGAACACAGCATGGCTTACATAACAAACAATAGACTAATTTGGTTCTCTCTGCTTAATTAACCCTATCAGCCCCAAGGGTAGTCAGCATGTAAGTTCTCCCTCCAGTAATATTGCTGAATCATTCATTAAGAACATGAGAATAACAAAAAGATTGCCAACTCAAGACGCTCTGATTACAATATGGATTCTCCTCATCAGTACCAATGGAAATTTATAGTGAAGAGTCTAGAGAATATGGATATTGATCTTAACCCTTTAACTCCCATGAGTGACCAAGAGAGAATTTCTCGTAATAGTGTAGTTTGATCGTCCGGGTGAGTGTAGTCCTGAGAAGGACTGTTGTCGGTAGTAGTGACTGACGTTTCGACAACCTGAGCGGAAGTCATCTTCAGAGTCAAGTGAATAGCTGTTGTCTGTCGAATGTTCTTAGTCCGGTTTGTATAAACTGATTGGTCGGTTTTGCCGCGATGTTATTGGCTGTAAGACTCAAGTGGCGTAGGTCGGTCGTGATTGGTCAGTCTCGATCCGTTAGTAAAGTTAGGTCGTTCTGTTTGGTTCGTTTGTAATGTTAATGTCATGTTTGTATGGTGCCGGTAGTGGTTGACACCTGTTAAGGGGAGTCAGTTCCAAGTTAGTAAACCAGCTTTCCAGAGTCAGTCGTTGAAAGTAGTTGGTGTTGTAGGTTAGGCATTGCGCAGAGTCCCAGTCAACAGTGTGGTTCGAAAGTCGGTGTTGTTCAGCAATGTGATTGTTGACATCGCCTTTCCTCGTCGCTCGTTTGTGTTCAGTTAGTCTGGTTTTGAGGTTTCTGCCAGTCTCACTGATGTAGGAGGCGTGCCAGTCGGAGCAGTTGATCTTATAAACTGGTCCCTGTCTCTTCCTCGGTTCGTCTTGGTCTTTGACGTTAGTCAGTAACTGACGTAGTGTGGTAATGGGTTTGTGAGCGACGCGGATATTGAATGGTTGTAGGATGCGCGAGATGTTCTCAGATATGCCCTTTATGTGCGGTATAGTTGCTGTAGTCGTAGGAGTTGTGTTGTCGTTAGCTTCGGTAGTAGTAGTTAAGGTCGGTGAGTGTTTCGTCGGACGGAGTATTCGTTATAGTTCTTGGAAAAAACACGGTCAAGGTACTTGTTCTCGTCAGATAATATCAAAATATCTGCGGTACGTAGTTTAGCAGATATTTGTTTTTTGCACGTTCTGTATTTGGTATTCTTAGTGCGCTATACAATCAGGTGTTTCAGTTACGCAGTACGCGTTAATTGCGTGTCGTATATATAGCTGCATGTTGTCAGTTCGTGATCTTCCTTCGGGTCTGCTAACGCTACACGCTACTCCACTGTTCTTTAGCATGAGCGACTCTGAGGAAGCTAGGGCACGTTCTAGTCGGAACGATGGAGTTTTAGATCCTTCTGTTGGTGCTGCTATACAGTCTGCCGTTTCTGAATCGATGGATTCTTTGACCGATAACCTCACTAAGGTAACATATTGAATCTTGGCTTAGTGATTTCGCGAAGCGATTTTCCGAGGAGAACAGCTCTTCCGTTGAACAAGCAGTCAATAGAGCTCGGCGCGAACAATATACCTGCAAAAGGGAAGGAAACCAGCAGCAGTTGGATCATTCCCTCCAGGTGGTGGATAAAATAGACGAAGGATCCGACGCTCTCAAGTAGAAATTGTACGAGAAAGTTAAAGTTGCTCTGGAGTCAGGTACTGAATTAGTTTCCAAGCGTGTTAAAGCCATTAAGCTAGCTGACAAGAGCGAATTTGGATGGGCGACCGTTAACGAATATTTGTCCGACGAACTCGCCTCTGACTCCGACGACGAGAAGAGAATTTACCGGGCCGAGAGAAGAGCCGGGAGAAAAATCAATAAAGAGAAGCGTCGTCGTGTCCGTTCTGACGAGAAAGGAAGCGGTTCCTCTTCTGTACTCCGCGCGGCTTCTTCGTCGAGATTCTCGTCTAAGGATTTGGCTTCTCGTTCGGAAGCTAGACCAGCTCGTCGTTTGGGGCCTTGTTTTAAGATAAGTAACCTACTCTTTCTCGTTACACTGGCTTTGTTTTACCTCGTCGATTATGGCGTTACACTCAGGCCATAATCAAATATTCTCCATGAATTGCTGTTTTGCTGTATGTCGTTCTATAGACTAGGTTAGTGCAGAATATCGAAATATCTGCGGTACGTAGTTTAGCAGATATTTGTTTTCTGCACGTTCTGTATTTGGCAGTCTATTGTGTTAGACAATTAGGGTTTTCAGTTACGCAATACGCGTTAATTGCGTGTCGTATATATAGCTGTTGTCAGTTAGTGATCTTCCTTCGGGTCTGCTAACGCTACACGCTACTCCACGCTACTTCTTTTATTTTTATGCTGTGGATTTTATTTTCATGCAATTGTGTGTTCCCCTTTTTTCAGTGTGGAGGTTTTGGTCATTTGAGCTTGACATGCACCAAACCTGCGGACACTTCAAAGAGTAGCGCTCGCCGTGATTGACTAGAGGGCGGTTTGTTGACCACTGATAATGCTGATGCCCAGCAAGTTGAGTGCGATTTTTTAGATTTATTGTCTTCCTGTAGCGACGAATTTAGTGTTAAAGGCGGTAGCAATGGCGTCAAAGGTCGCTTGAAGTCCTCGCTTAACTTCTGGGTTGAAGCATTAGATGCTTCAGATTTCGTGCTTGACATGATTAGGCGTGGTTACAGGTTACCTTTTGCCCAGTATCCTTCACAGTGCTTTCTAAAGAACGACAGATCTGCGCTTCAGCATCCAGAATTTGTGGCCGAAGCAATTACCGAGCTTCTTGGTAATGGTTGTATTATTGAGTATGTCGTTCCTCCATTCTGCGTGAATCCTTTAACAGTCGCGGAAGGAAAGAAATTGCGTCTTGTTATTGATCTTAGGAACGTCAACAATTGTTAAGTTAAACCCAGATTCAAATATGAAGACTTGCGCTCGCTGTCCCAAGTTCTGGATGAAGGACACTGGTTTTTCACATGGGACCTTAAGTCCGGCTACATCATGTTGATATTTGTCTTGATCACCAAAAGTATCTCGGTTTTGCTTGGCCTTTTTCCGGCGTTGTTAGATATTTTACCTTTGCAGTTCTTCCTTTCGGCCTTAGTAGTGCCTGCTTTTGTTTCACTAAGTTGATGCGCCCGTTAGTTAGACGCTGGCGTTCTATGGGGCACACCAGTTTCATTTATCTAGACCACGGTTTCGGTAGTCAACCTGATAAGTGTTCCGCCACGGCAGCAAGCTTAATTCAACGCAGAGAGCTTTCTTCATCTGGTCTTCTTTGTAACGAGGAAAAGTCGCACTGGACCCCAATGCAAATTGGCGAGTGGCTCGGTTTCGTGATATAAGGCCACCATTAGCGACCCATACCGTTGTGTTTTCCGACGCAAGTGATGTAGCTTTCGGAGGTTTTTCAGCTTCTCTAGACGGCACCGTTGTCAGCGGCATGTGGGAACCCGAGGATATCGGCCAAAGTTCTACGTTCCGCGAACTGAAAGCTATTTATTTCTTATTGCTTTCCTACGTTGCTTAATTGAAACACAAGAGAGTTAAAATCTTTACTGATAATCAGGGCGCCGCCAGAATTGTTGCTATCGGAAGCTCCAAAATTAATCTCCAGGCTCTGGCCATGGACATTTTTAATCTCTGTCTTGTTAACAGCATCATTCTGGAAGCGCAATGGATCCCAAGGTCGCTTAATGAAAGGGCAGATTTTCTCAGCAGATTTGTTGACAAAGATGACTGGTCCGTCAACCCTTCTGTATTTCGATTGATTGACGCCAAATGGGACCCTCACACAATCGATCGGTTTGCGTCGCATTACAACGCCAAGGTTCTTAGGTTCCTTTCTAAATTTGCCTTCCCCAGCTGCAGCGGCGTTGACGCCTTGGCCCAGGATTGGCGAGACGAGAACAATTGGGTCTGCCCTCCTGTGAGTGCCATCGTTCCTTCTGTTAGAGCTCTCTAGTCGTGCTCTGGTTACGGCACTTTGATCGTCCCACAGTGGCCTTCGGCCTATTTTTGGCCCTTTTTGCATGACAGCTCTTCTCCGTTCAAGTCTTTTGTTAAGGTAGTGTTTGAGCTTCTTTGTATAGAAGACCTCTTGTTGGAAGGTCCCGGCCAGAGGCAAATTTACAAGGCGCGTCCCTCGGTTTTCAGTGGTTGCCCGAGATTCAGAATGTTAGCCTTACGGGTATTTTTTAGGTGAGCTTTTGTCATCCTTGTTTACCATACATGTCTCTTTTCTTTCAGCTCTGCTCCTCACCTTGTCGTTGCTGATCTTTTAGTCTAACCTCGTTGTGTTTTGTCTGATTTGGCAGTGTCATTTTGGTCAGTAGTTTGACCTCCGTTTGTTTTGAACCTTTTGCCTGATTTGGCATCGTCGTTTTACGTCGCGTTTGCTATTTTATTGTGTTTTGCCTGATTTGGCAGTATCTCTTGGGCCGTTTTTTTTTTTTTTGCTTACTCTTATTTTATTTTATTTCTTGTAGACGTTCTGCAATCGGGGATTTGGCGTGACGCAAATTCTCTGGTCGATCTATCTTTGCGTAGGCTTGTTCCAAACCTTCTCCATTTACGGTTGGAGTCTAGGGCTCCTTCTACCGTACAGAAATACAGATCTGGCTGACTGAAGTGGCGTCAATGGACAGCTCCTAAGATTGGCGTTCAAGTTATTCCAGCAAAGCCTCTGCATGTCGCGCTCTTTATTAGCGAGCTTACTGTAATTTCAGTTAGCAATAATACGGGGATATCTTCTATAGAGTCAGTTCTTTACGCTATTAAGTGGGCTCATAGTCTGGCCAGGATAGTAGAATGCCCTACTAGTCACCCCCTTGTTAAGTCATCCTTAGAGGGCACTAGAAGGAAACTTGCACATCTCGTTCAGCCCAAAGAGCCTTTATCCGTCGACGCAGCGTGTAGGATCGCTGATCATTATATTACTAGTAGTTTTCTCGCCGTTATTCGTTTTCTTTTCATTCTCTTTGGTTGGCTTCGCTGGGTTTTACCGTATGGGCGCAAATCGTACTTTGTCTGCTAAAGATGTGTCTATTTGCAGTGAATACATGTCAGTTTTCATTCTGAAACGCAAAAATGATCAGTATAGGGAGGTGCATACATCCCTCCTAGCAAGGTCTCATAAGGTTACTTGCCCGGTTTCTATTACCGAGAGGTTACTCAAGCTTCTTCCTTCATCTACTGAGTCATCCTCCCCCCTCGTTGGACGAATTGTTTAATCTAAGTCTAAGGAGTATTTTCATGCTACTAAAGGCGTTTCGTACACGACGCTTAGAGAGGAATTTAGGAAATACGTTAAGCCATTTGTAGATGACATCACTAGTTATGGCACGCATAGTATCAAGTCTGGCGCCGCTTGAAATCCTGCGTGTAGGAGTATTTCTGCTGATCTGCTGGACACGCACGCCGGCTGGAAATGTGCCATTTCAAAGAACAGGCACATTAAGCACACTGTTAATGATCGCTTAAAAGTTGCTCGATCTATTGCTCTTTAGTTTCGGATTTCGTTTGCTTACGATAAATTATTTAATTAGTAGTCTCGGCGGGGGACTAAGTCGTGCCTGGCCCGCCCCAGATTTCCTATCCGTTTTTCCCACAGGGTTTGCCCCCCTGGCACGGCTTTCTCTAGTTTAAATTTTCAGTCTCTCTTTTTGTAGATGTTATTATTATCTGCTTTAATAAAGTGGCGTTATGGCGTTACACTCAGGCCATAATCCAATATTCTCCATGAATTGCTGTTTTGCTGTATGTCGTTCTATAGACTAGGTTAGTGCAGAAGCTGTCTGTCGTGTTGCATACTAGTTGCGCTCGTCGCGTGAGAGTCCTGATAGTTGTGGCTTTGTGTGATGTCGGGTTGTAGAATGACTCGTCCAGTAATCTGTAGGTATGTGTCGGTTTCCTGTAAACTGCTCTCCGTAGTGAGTTGTCGTCAGGGCTTACCTCGGGTTGTCGAAACGTCAGTCACCACTACCGACAACAGTCCTTCTCAGGACTACACTCACCCGGACGATCAAACTACATTATTACATGTTACCCCGGGTTCAAACCATTTACTGTACAGAATTTCTCCTTACAATATCAATACAATATCAAGCAGACAAGTTAGATGAGAATAAAGTGAAATATCAATTAGGGGATCATGATTATAAGTTGATCCAATACCAAATTCTCCAAACTAACATCACAAGAACTGTATGGCAGACAGTAACAAGAATTACTAATGAGATCTTAGGAGTTAAAGGGTTGAGGTGTTGTACTACAGTAAAAGTACTTTATCAAAGTGATAGATGAAAACTAATTGACAAGGAAAGCAAACCAGCATAATTAATTTCGTAGATTCTTCTTCAAACTGGGAATAGAGTTTCAGTGTATAAAGTATCTTTACTTTTTATGTCCGTATTGATTACCCAGATAATCTTTTGAGATTGTCGCGTGCACTTTAAATTTTTGCTCTTTTTTTCCGACAAACTTTCCGGTAACAACTTTATAAGGTTAACTGCGTATCTCCAGTTGGACATTTATGATAACTTGCATTCACATTTAATTTACGTTTTTTCTAAGTCTGTTCAGGTGGGAGAGGAAGAAGGAAGTGTAGGGGGCGGGGGAGGTGTCAGCTCAACGAGGAACTAATTGATATTCAAAAACTCAACTACAAAAACTACATAAATTCTCCAACTTTAACTACATAGTATGAGAAAAAAGATTCTTCCCCTTCCTTGTTAATGTTCTCTTACTGTTTCACATTGATATACCAAGATATGTTTTTCGCGCACAAATAACTCATAAAAAAACATTGAACAAGATGAAAGGGGCAGTAAGAGAAGTAGATTGAAATTTTTCATTCAGTTTAGACACTTAAGTTTGCGATTTCTTTCGCACTTTGTCAGATAATCAAAGCTCCCCGGTTGGGATCTCTATTCCCTGTAAATTACTCTTCATCCCACGCTTGTTATTAAACTAGTAACGTCTCTGGCAAGGATCCTCTCCAGCTTTGGCTATTCGATAATCATATCTAAATAATCAATTTATTCCAATTGTATTCTTCAGCTCAACACCTTGATACTCGTACGAGTCATAAAGGAGATGACCAATTTGTTGCAGCCAACTGGGGAAGACAACCATTTTCAGCAAATACGGTAAGATTCACAACATAAAACTAAAACAAAATAGTGGAAGAGGCAGCCATGTCCTCCTGTGAGGCTCTATTCGCCTAACTTCCTCATTCCTTAATCAGTAAGGCCTTACGATATCTAAAAATGAAAATTCATTGTCAAAGGAAAATAAATGAATGTTTTCTTTTAACTCCTAGAATGGGCATCGAAACATGCGTGGTGATGATTCCCCTCCTGGGTGTCACGTGGCTATTCGGTCTCCTCTCGCCTGTACATAAAACTTTCGTTCACATCTTCACCATACTCAACTCTGCTCAGGTCAGTGTTCGATGGTAACTGCCAAAATCATTCAATTTCTATCATTATTTTACTTTCTAACCAAGTGAAACACCATTACGATGGTCACATGATATTTTTTGGAAGTTTAAAAACAACAATTCTGTTAACTATGCAAGAGAAGACAGACTTCTTTTTTAATTATAAGACATGCAATTCTCTTTCCTCTTGGAAATCTTAATAGGTATTTTGTCTAATTTGTTTGCATATTGTAAAAATTAATGATCTTGAAATCATGTTTATGCTGCAGGGTTTCCTGATTTTCTCTCTACACTGCATGCGAAACACTCAGGTAAGGAAAATAAACAAACTAATTGTTAACTCCATATCATCAAGTTTTAGTTTTTCGAGAGATATCCGAGTACAAGTGCTAGGAATGTGTTTCGCGTCGCTCGTCTATCTGCAGATCAGAGAGCGTTTCAAAAGAAAGATGAACATCGTTTTTCGATCTTCTATAAAGAGCAACTCCACAAGGAAGAGCTCACAGGTCAATCCAAGTGAGGTTGGGGATGTATGGGCAGTTAAATTGCAGTCTTGTGCTCAGTTTTAATCGAAATCGCACCTAACTTAAATAACTGGATCCAGCCAACCGGAAATGACAGTCAATTACTTATTGCAATCACTTAGTTAACAGCATAAAGTCGGTTACGATCGATCTGACTTGCGATCTGCAGCTAAAAAGAGGTTTTTCTTTTCATAATTGTTTAAGCACTCAACTAACTGTAATTGTAATCTATCTTCTTTACGATAACAAGTTTATTTTCTGGGCGATAGTATACTTGAAGGCAAGATTCATCGAAATAAACAAATCTATAAATTCAAATTTCTAATAGCTCAGTATCTTGATGACTGAATGACTGAAACTATTGGTTTCTAGAAATTTCGAGAATGCCCAGTCATGCAAAAATGCATACCAAGGGACCTTCTGGAGTATTTTATTAGGTTAAATAGTTATGATGTAACACTACCAATATCGTTGTGTTGTAAGCGTCCGGAATTTGCGAGAATACTTTGTACATAAGGACACAGTCGTGCAGCAGTAGTAATTGTTGTCGGGAGGGACTGACTTTTCAGAAAGCTATACCGAGAGAGAGCAACCGTGGAAGATTGTTAATCTCGAGTTACTTTGGAGACAACTTCGAGATTGTGTCAGTGGTGAGCAAAGAAATAGTTTGTGGTTGTCTCTTTAAGGATAATTATTCTACTTCTTTAAGAGTCGCTCCTTGGCAAGAATATTACAAGTTGTTTAATAAATTAATTGGGTCTGTTGATAAATGATGCTCTTTTTGTCTTTTAAATTGTACTGTTAAAAATAATACTAATAGTCTTAGCAGCTAACGCTGACATTCAAAGCTGTTGCTTAATAAATGAATGGATCGATACGTAAATGTTTGAATAAGTAAACAACTTCTTTAGAAAGAACAGGAAAAAGCCCCTTATGACTGGATCTTTTTTTGGATCAGTTACATGTACCCATTTTTTTTTCGCATTCCTAAAATAAGGAGTGTCGTTTTAAATCGAAAACACATCGATTAATTTGGAATTGAATTGGCGCAATGTTAGCCTTAAATGGCATAAACCAAGAGATTATAAACTATTCGGCACACATTATTAAACAACGATTAAAGAACTTTTACACAGAGTATACAATTTAAAGGAAAAAGCTTAGCGATAGAAATGCAGAATATTTCGATGGGCCTGGTTTTCAAATATCATTACAGTGAAACTTAGCATTGCAGAGGAATTTCAATGAGGGAGAGAAGGAGTCCATTATGTAGATGTGCTTAACAGTTTATAATAATCTAATTTACGTCATACCCATTTATAAATAAACATGGATGACGAAGCGTGCGATTATGACGGAAGAAGTTAAAATAAGAATTATTCTGAAGTAAACAAGCACTTTCCTCTCTACACTGCTCAAATGCGATAGGTCAAAACGCTTCAAGCTTCGATTGACCTAATATATCGCAGCTAAGACGAGCGAATATTCCAGAATAAATAATCGATTATTCTATGAGCGTGGAGAGATACTGGGACAGTAGAATGTCTCGCCCACAGAGCACATCACTATGATCCAAGAACGTCTCGCACTAAGAGCTTTTGACTCACCGCTCGTTCTAAATTGTTGGAATTCAAACATTTGGACAGAAAAGTGATGGTCTGCATGACGCTTTTGAAGAGGAGAGTTATTTTGTAGGCTGAACACTAAACTTTGGCCGTTAGCCACAGTTGTTTTAAAGGCATACGAAGTAATTAGCATGTCACAGGCGATATGAATAAATAACAATAATTCTCATTTATGCATAACGAACAGATGGCATACTAGCTTAAGCTGCCCGTTGATAAAACAGAATTTTGTTAAGACAACTTTCATATAACAGAGCTCATAAAACAATTACTGTTCTTACCATCAAATATTTTTTAGCTGCTTCTTCCACAACACTTCAACTACAAAAAGTATTTTAATGCCGTGAAGTTTTCCGATTCTATTAGAAAAACAATGCTCCACACCAGGTGCAAGTGGCTTTTTGTCCATTGGTCCGTCTATGACAGAAAAAAATGCCATGAACATGTGTTCAGAGATCATGATTTGCATTAAAGTCTAACTCGTACGAAAGACTTTTTGTGAGGATGCCGCAAATCCGCAACTCTCACGCGGTGTGAATCAAATATAAGTGAATCCTGCAAAATGTTCAAAACATCGGTGATATGTTGTATGCTGGGTGAGTACGACCCTAGTTATTCCTGTTTGTTCTGCGGTAGCTATGAAACCGTCAAAATTGACTTTTATTTGTAAAATATTTATTTCGATATTTACCTTACGGAACTCTAATAACTAAACATACCAAACTCTTAACATGTCCTCTCTAGTTGTTGTCTAATTATTAAAGCTAATTATCATCATTATCGTTATTATTAGTTTCTCGATATTTTTCTCTTTCCTTACAATGAAAAATAATTGAATAATAATCACCCGTAATGACACATTCGTATAAGTTGTACGCTAGGTTAGTACCACCTTAATTATATCTTGACTTTCCATTTGTGACACATTTATATCCATTTTGGAACGTCCTGTGAAATTCAGCCAAACCAAACAGAGAAAAAATGTCAGGTGGCGGATATTTGGCACTGTTAATTAAAACAAAACAAAACAGACTTTAAAGATTTCCGCATTAAACTTTCAGTTCTTAATCAGAAATGGATCTCTTATAAATTGGATTCCTGAAGCCTTTTAGATTCCATATAGTGCAAAGTAGGTTTCCTTAGAGCGTTCGGATGAGGCGTTAATCAGATATCGCGGTACCCAAATCTTTAGAGCTTTCAAATTATTGTTCTGTTAGTAACACTCAGAGTAGATGACTGCTTACTGCTCGCCAAGTTGAACGTCATGGTTAATTAAAACATATTTCTCTTCTAAATTATTCTTCTTTATGCCCGAAAGCAAACTTTATACTCAACCCATTGCTCTTCTTTTGAAAAAAATATATGGGCTCTGGAGATTCCGCAGGTTCCGCGGTCTGCTGATCCATAGTTTTGTAACTCCCAAGAATATGGAAAAATCCTCACAAAATTTTGGAGACCAACCCCTCAAGATTCAAATTGTGCAGAAGTTTTATTTGAGCGGTCAGATTTGATACCCGATTCATTCGCTTAAAATGCGAGCTCAAACGAAACATTTTTTTTCTCTGGATAGCACATTTTACATCCTTTTCATTCATTTATAGTTCGGTTGCGCTCCGAATAACCCGTTCAAAAAAATTTTCCGAAGGACATTCCTAAGGGTCTATCGTATCCTTAAAAATGTTTCCACATGTGACAAGTTTTGTTGAGATAGTTGGTGAATTGCGGAGGTGCTGCATTTTTTTTATAATTTCTCCGTCAGCTCCCTAGGAAGGTAATAAAATTCATGAATAGATGTTAAAGGGCATGTAGCAAATAAAATGAATTAGTACTCGTTTTACTCGAAATCTAATAAACTTTTTCATTGTTTCAAATGTTACTCTTGAGATAACAAGCAATTTATTTGTCCATTTTCTCTTCTACAGACATCCTTCGTTTGTTGATGAAATTGCCAGGGACAGGTGAGGCAGCTTCATTCCAATTTAATATTTATGTTCGTTAACATGGACGGGAAAAAAAGATAATACCTGACTAAATTATCATATTAATTAGTTATAGACT